TGACTTCTATTTTAAAAGGAACAATTTATGATGTAACGACTTTCGAGGCTGATCATTAACGGTCGTAAACGTAAGCATCAAGATAAAGCATCGAGATAGCGAATCAAGGGATCCAACTACTCAGAAACACAAATTATAACTTACGAAACCGTTTGTCGCTTCAACTAAGAATATTGTAAATAATAATTCATCTCGAAACCAATTAATTTTCAGTTGACTACGACGTAACCACGGATGTAACGAGCCGTGTTCACTCTAGTACAAGTCAAACCTGACAACGTTGATCCCTGGTGGGCTAATCTTCAAAATAAGTAGCACCTTCAACCATAGGAGCGAATCAACATGTGTATATAGAAGCATCCATAAGAAAAGCGGGGTATTAATGGCTACACAAGGGTATACATCTGTGTATAGGAGTATTCACAATAATACCGGGGTATCAATGATTATACAAGGGTATACATGTGTGTATAGAGGCATCCATAAAAAAAATCCCGGGGTATTAATGGCTACACAAGGGTATACATGTGTGTAGAGAGGTATCCACAAAAATACCGGGGTATCAATGGTTATACAAGGGTATACAGGTGTGTATAGAAGCATCCATAAAAAAAAAAACCCGGGATATTAATTGCTACACAACGGTATACATGTGTGTAGGGGTATCCACAAAAATACGGAGCATCTTTGGGATACGAAGGCTTGCGTGAGTTTACCAGGGTGTATATGGTTATACAGCGGTTTCCACGAGTACACAGGATTATCTATTTTAAGAAAATTTATTTTATCTATGCATGTAGCAACTCCCTCTTTGAAGCTTTGCTAATGATTGAAAACAAATTGGAATTTGAAAAAACTTCTTAGAGTTCACATGTTGGATATGATGGAGAGTCTTTTAAACCAATTGCTCTAAAGTTTACTCGGGGACTAAGCGCCTTTAAAAAAATATGATTAAACATTTGTTTTGCTGCAACAACTGGTCCTGTTCTGAAAACTATAGAAACAATTTCCTTGGTATGATTACTAAAAATATAGCTCTTGAAGTTTGTTCTAAAACTGTTAAACTCATTTAAAGAGAAAATTGTGCGATGTCCTCTCTCACATCAATATATCTAAATGTCAAGTGAGCTTTATACAGAAATGTATCCCTGTATGTATCGATCCGAATTGTCCTGAGCAGATGGCTTCCTCTTACTAAAGGCTGGCAGTTGATTATTACGAGTCTTATATAATCGTTCCTTAATCCAATACATTCTGTTAAAGAGGGTTTTTTTACTCGTGCTTCTTATGATTCCGTGGGCACCGGCCAATTTCCAAAATCAAATGATACGTTGTCGCCAATGACCATAAACGGAGCCCAGTGAAAAGTTTTCTCAAAGCCATTGTTTCTCATCCACTTCCTGGCCTCGTGGAGAGACTCACTGACACTTTCACCGCGGAGCAAGTGTTCGTAGAAGCATGTCATGAACTGCTCTGTGGCTTCGTCGTCCAGAGCGCACCGTGCCGCCAACACTGAGCAAGCACCGGATCCTGGGAACGCTCGAGCGATGCCAATAAATCCTTCGGCTTTGATCTGTCCACGAGCACTGTGACAACAGCTAAGTACCACCAGTTTAGCTCGCAGCTTCACTTGGTAATTTTGACAGGGCCCAAGAATATTTTGGTGTTTGCAGTGCTAATCAGAGGCCTTCTTTGAGTAATTATAAGCTAAGAGTCGAGGTATTTCTAGATAATGGCATTGATTTGGCTTTTATGTTTCATTTTCCCTCACCAGATACAAAATAAAGGCTTTATGTCAAGACTTTGGTCTGTTTTTAGCATGAATTATGCTCCAAATTTCATTTTGCTTGGTCTTAGAGGGGCATGGAGAGTTTGTGCCAAAAACTTAACAAACATTAATAAGCCAAATTTTTCTCAACTGATTTTGATAAATGGGTCACTAAAGTACATACTGGATTTGGTTTGAAAGTTATGCAAGAAGGTAGGTAAATGTTATGGTTTTTTGAAAAATGACAATTTTGGGTAATGATTTTGGCCTCAAATTTGACTTAACTATAGCCCCAGGCCCCTCTCTGTCTAATCACTTGAGAACAAAGTTACATTTATGAGGTAAAAGCTCCACTATACTAGAGTCCATGGTCAAATTCATTTGGCAGCAAAATTTACCAATGGAGCTTAATAGCACTTTCAAAATGCCATCTAGAAGGATGAATTTTTGGTGCTCCACAGGCCACAAATGGGACCCCCCCTGAAACTCCAGAGCAAACAGTCAGAGAAGTGAGCCAAGGTGGCTTTTGAAATATCTTATTACACTCAACTTTTGTGCCAAGTTTCAGCCGAATCGGTTGACCACCACTTTTGGCCCNAACTAGGGATCTTAAGCAATCAGGGCGGCAACGTCGAGAAAGTCGTCAATAAAAAAAGAATTAACGTTTAAAGCGTTTACCGTCCCTCGCAGCTCCACATCTCAACTTCAGCAAAATGCATATGAGCAGCGTTAAAACTTAGATAATTTGCAATTGGGTTTCCTTTCTAAGACAAAGCAAATTTTGGTGATTTCAAGTTGTCTTTGCAGTGGACGGCTAAGTACTGAACAAAGACTTAAAACACACGTGCTGAGCTATTGTTCTGCCCATTAGATTTTTTGTTTGGTCACGTTCTCGTTGCCGTTGCCGTTGCCGTCTTGGTTTGGTTAAGGTCCCTGCCAGGAACCTTAAGAGTACAATCTTTGGGTCTACTAGGGTTGCGTGAGTGTACAAGGGTGTCTATGGTTATACAGTGGTTTGCGTGAATATACACGTGCATCTATTTTTAGAAAATCTATTTATCTATGTATGGCAACGCATCACTTCCTCTTTGAAGCTTTGCCAGTAGTTGTATAAATTCCAAATTAGATTCTTAGACTTCAAACGCTGGATATAGTGGATAGCCTTTTAAACCAATTGCTCAAAACTTTGCCTTTGCAAAAATATTGTTTAAAATTTGTTTTGCTGCCCCAACTGGTCCTGTTCTGAAAAATTTAGTTACAACAAACTTTGAAATGATTACCGAGTCATTTAAGGTTAAAGAAAATATGCCGGCTCTTGAGGTTTGTTCTAAAACTGTTAAACTAATTTCAAGAGTAAATTGTGCGATGCCCTGTCTCAGCTTAATATACAAAAGATGTCAAGTGACCTTTTTACAGAAATGTATCGCTGTGTGTATTGATTCGAATTGTCTTTCCCAGATGGCGTCCTCTAACTAAAGGCTGGCAGTTAGTGATTACGAATGTTACTTAATCGTTGCTTAATTCAATACATTCTGTTACAGAAGTTTTCTTTTTTACTCATGCCTCTTAAGATTCCGTGAGCACCGGCCAATTTCCAAAATCAAATGATACGTTGTCGCCAATGATCATAAACGGAGCCCAGTGAGAAGTTTTCTCAAAGCCATTGTTTCTCATCAACTTCCTGGCCTCGTGAACAGACTCACTGACACTTTCACCGCGGAGCAAGTGTTCGTAAAACCAAGTCATGAACTGCTCTGTGGCTTCATCGTCCAGAGCGCACCGTGCCGCCAACACTGAGCGAGCACCGGATCCCAGGAACGCTCGAGCGATACCAATAACTCCTTCGGCTTTAATCTGTCCACGGGCACTGTGACAACAGCTAAGTACCACCAGTTTAGCTCGCAGCTTAGCTTGTGAAATGTCCGCCATTGTCAAAAGGTAGTCCTCTTCGTGAGGAATACCGTGCGTTGGGAGCTTAGGAGAAAGCGCGATCTCTCCTCTTTCGGCACTACCATGGGCGGCAAT